CACACACACACACACACACACACACACACACACACACACACGTAACCATTTTTTATGCTTAAAGCATATTATGTATACTTACCTACATTGCCACTATAGTACATGCATGCCATCCCTCATATACCATATTTACTTGATCAGAAGAAGGGATTTTTCCCCTTTTCAGATGAAGGGAAGCTCCTTGTCTTGGATTTGAGTATGGGGGGGTGGGGAGGGCTGCCTCTTACCATCGGACTCCAGCTCTGGCAGGGCTCTAGCCCAGGGCACAGATCACGTGGTTGCTTCGGCCCCACCTTGGCCTAGTAGCAGCAGTGGTGGTGGCAGCAACTCTGGGACTGGGCCAGAGATGCCATTGCCACAACAGCTGCTGTGTGGCCAAGCTAGGGCTGGAACAGCCACCTGATCTGTGCCTGGGGCTGGAGAGAGTCAGAACCCTGCTGGAGCTGGAAGGTAAGCAGTGGTAGATGCATGTGCCAAGAGGTGCAGGCATGAGGAGAGTAGTAAGGGGCCAGAGAAGTAGGCACTGTGAGGGCAGGGCAGGTGCTGGGGCATGCATGCAGAGGGCAAGCAGCTGTGAGGGCAAGTAGTGAGGGCACAGGTGGCAGGGAGCAAGGTGTGGGCAAGGCAAGAAGTAAGGATCAAGCCATTTGACTCCCCCACTTCCTACCTCCCCAACTGCCTGCCCCTCCTGCCATCTGCCTCCCTACTGGTTGCCCCCCGCCACTGCTTTCTCCTACTACAGCAGTGGATTAGTAGAGGTACAAATTTAAGACAATCCCCTAATAATTAGAGTCTATACGTGGGAAACTATAATAAATTTGATACTTTTCCATAAATAAAATCTAATTATTGGAGGTATTTTAAATTCAGAGTTGTCCTGTATTTGGATAAATACAGTATATAGTCAGTGGTGTCCACATACACATATCATGGCCCCAAAGAAGACTCAGGGTATTCTGTCATGAATTTCAGTGAAGCCATTATTTCACCCAAAGTATATAGGACTGCATACGAGTGGTACAAAGATGTAATTTTCGTCAGTTTGGGGTAGCAGCAAGTCAGCCTAAAGGCGTAACAGTAAAATCCATACGCCAAACAGAGTTTTTCTTGGTATTGTTTCAGATCCCTGCTTCTGAATGTATTTACTTTCCATATACCCAACTTTAATATTACAGAGTGAAATGGAAATTACGAAACAATCATGTTAGAAAGATAAATTTTTAAAGTACCTAACTTTCTCTGTGCTTAAAAATGTTGATACATCTTATGCTGCTTTAAACTAGCTAAAGATGCAGAGCTAAAGTTTCCTACTTTCAACTTTACCTATGTATCTCCCTAATGGTGTTATGAAGTGAGCTGCCCACCTACTATGTACAGTTGGTATAAGCAAACTGCTATTCATACAAAAGCAGGACACCTGTGAGATGATCGGCAAGCCTTTTGGACTGGAGGCAGATATGGGAGCAATGTAAGGAAAACCTGGATGTTGTAGAAAAGCCAATAATTCATTTGCATGTATCCTGATAGTTTCTGATACGCAGCCCAGTCAGAGGCAGGATATTTTTAGACTGATTGGTGGTCTAGATCTGTCATCAGATCATTGTTGTACCTGCATTCCTAAAATAACCAACACCTTAATTTTTCATGGATTACTATTAAGAATTAAATTCTTGAGGAAGTAAATACCCTTAGAAAATATTTTTAAGCAAAATCCTCCTTCATCCTGTCCAAGTTAAAGCTCATGGTTGAGCCCATTCAACTTCCCATTGAAATCAGTGCACTTCATTTGTTGGGCAGACATAGTCTGGTGCATAGTAAGCGCCTCAGTTGCAGGGATGGGGTTACCTGTTGTCTGGAAACATACTATGTAAACAAAAGAAAACTGTTCAAAATGCATTTATTTCATTAGCAGTGGAACATGTGATTTCTGCAGGCATCATAAGAATTAATCCTTGGCATGGCTACTTGTTCTGGGCTTCCCTACATTTTTTATGTACTTTCCCTTTCTCCATTAGCTGTGATCTCACTTTTCTTGCCCTGTGCTTCTCTTCACTCCCTCTATTAGCGCACAATATGCTTTGCATCTGCAATCTCCTTTACCCACCTCTAAAATGCTTCCCTAGCACTGTTTTCTGAATCCTTGGTTGCAGGTCTCTCTGCATGCTTTGCTGACTGCTAAAATAATTCGCTTTGGTGTTCTGAATTCTGCATTGCTTTCCTCTCTTTTCACTTTTGATTATTAGAAGCTTTGAATGCCATGGGACAGCATTTTAAAATATTAACAATATTGAATGAGAGCAAGAAAGCTGTGAACTGAACATACGATTCTTACTTGGTCCTTACTGAGGCAAATCTCCACTGAAGTCAGCAGGACTTTGCCTGACTAAGGAGCTCAAAACTTATTTTAATTCACTATGTTTTCAAATGAATTGGGTAATGATGTGAACCATAGCTGTGTTCTCATTGCCTGGTCAATGGAGTACCTCTGCCAAGATGATGCTGTAGTTAGTGAAAATGGCCAGTAATATAACCAGGGGTGAATAACTGGGACATGAGAGGTGCAAAAATGGTGGCAGCTGCTGCTGCTGGTACTGCCACCCAGGATGCAGAAACTGCTTGTTACTTCCCTGGAAATGGCCAAACTAGCATTTACTTCTAAGGGGGTGGTTTTCACCTGTAATGATGACACTGACCTATATATGGTTTATGTTTTGTATCCATTTTTATTGTATGAACCAAAATTGAACTCCATGGATGACACACCTGCTTAATACCACAGAGGCAGCACTGCATTCATTTTCCACTGTATTCTGCACGAGTCAAGGTGCCTAGACTTGTGAAGAGAAGAGAAGGTGGAGTTAGTTCTTTGTTTCTAGCTATCTTAACTCAGCTCTTCAGGCAGGAAAAGTTGTCCACAAGACAATTTATTTAAATACTTCTTGAATAAAAGATATTAGTCAAAATATTGATATACATCTTGTAAAATCTCTCAATACTTATAAAAATATTGTATTAGAAGGAAATATGACCTGAAGACGGACATTTTACACCCTAAACTTGCCTAAAATCTATACAGTCAGTCCAGTAAAAAAAAAAAAAAAAACCCCAAAAAACTCCTTGCCTCTTAAGAAAAAATGTAGTCAGAAACAACAGCCATCCATTCTGGTAGATCATATTGTCTCTTCAGCTCGAGTTTATACTGTTTGGTTTTGCCCAGCAGCTCTTAATAGGCTTTAATAATGTCAGAATGAAGCAAACAGGAAGACTTGGAACGCCTTGATTGATTGAATTGTGGTTAACCTAATCACTTAACCATTTCTCCATTCTCAAGGGTCCCAGCACCTAAAGCAAAGAGAAATGCCAACTCCCTCAAAGCATAATGGCTGAAAGGGTCATTGCCAGTTTTTGGAGAGTAGTGGGAAGCCAAATTTCAACCCAAGAATCTGGCTGTGCTGCAATCCAAAGGCATGATTGAAGCTTGTGTAGATGTACCATATTTCCCTGAATCCAAAACAACTTCAGATTTAAAGCAGCCTTCCAATAATTAGATTCTGTGCATGGACAACTATAAATTTGTCATAAATTTTCATGTACAGAATATAATTATTGGAGGGCCACCTTAATTCATACCCCCAAAGCAACAGCAGGGACAAGAAGCCAGACTCCCACCCCTTGCCTCCCTTGCTTGCCACGCTGGTTCCTGTGCCTGCTGTCCTGTTGCTGCACCCCCCACTGCCGCCACCACCACCCCTTGCCCCCTGCCTTCTCTATGCCTGTAACTGTCCACTGCTCCTACCCCCCAGTGTCTTTGCTTGCCAGCTCATGCTGTCTATTGCAAGTGCCTGTCGCCTTCCCACACCTGGCATCCCCCACCTTCTGCATCTCCCCGCCACTTACCTTCTGGGTAGTGGCTCTGGCTTCAGGACAGTCAGCTGTGGTGGCAGCCCAAGCCCAGCCAGGAAGAAGCAGTGGCAGCAGCCCCTGAGGCCTAGCTAGGTTGGGCCTGGAGGAGTTGGAACCAGAGCCACAGCTGCTGGGGGCAGGGGCCAAGGCGCACACCATGGGTTTTTCTTTCTTCATTCTCCCCACCACATGCACCCCCTCCCCTGCCATGTGAGCCACCCCAGCCTGCGGCAGACATAATGGTTTAGCACCTGCTTTGGCCCCAAGCCCAGGGCTAATGCCAGAGCTGAGTTGTTGCCTGCCCCAGGCTGGTACTTGGATCTTAGACATGGCTTTTTTCCCCCAGGGTGACTGGAGAGAAAAGCCTCATCTTGGATTTGAGTAAATATGATAACATGAGCTAGCCCTTAGCTAGGTGATTCAGATACCAACAAACTCCAGCCACTGCAGCACAGAAATAGGTGCTTGGCTGTTAACTTAAGGTCCTGGATGGATTTTCAACCCATGCATAACTCTTTGCTGCCACAGACTATACTGTTGGTACATGAGCTACCTTCACCCTTGGATTGCAGTGTAAGCATATACCAATGGCTGACTTTCACAAGAAGAGCATTTGTTTTGTATTACCTCTTTAAATGTAGTCAGTCTGCAAATGCATCCTGCATTGTTTGGCTTCACTAATGAGTCAGAGTTTTGCGTCCTCTTCAAGAACTTCATCTTGTCATAATTAGGAAGTTTTGCCCCATGTGGTTTTCAGTTGTATATCTGGAGAACGCGTCTCAGCAGTTGCCCCCTTCCTTGGTATCTGATTTAAGGGAAGGCTAGAACCAAACTTGTCATCGCACGTATTATGCTTATTACTTTGCAATGGCTTTTTTATTATTCTTGCATTTGCATGTCTCTGCTGAAATCTGCGCTTTTTCCTGCTTTCACCTTTCAAATACTTTCAGCAACCTCTCAGCTTTGTCTTGCTGCCACCTGCTTTCATTTCACCACTCACTTCTATCTACCTTATTTTATCTTTTCTTAGTATTAGTGATTTTTTTTCCCCAAATGTGTTAAGAATTTTCAGCATTGCACAATTCTTAGTGTCACTTTCGAAATTTTGGCCTCATTTCTAAGTGTCTAAAATTTTAATTTCCTAGTGTGCTACATTTGCCTGTGAAATTCCTATTTACTTGTGCATACTAGTTCAACTGAATATAAAGTGCTCTAGTCCAAAGCAGGGGATTTTTTCCATGTCTTAACAAAAAAAGTTGCTTTAATTGCAAGCAATTTTGTAACCTTTACTGCAGGCCTTGTATATGACACCTTGATGCTGAAACACCAGTGTACCTGTGGAAACACTAACAGCCACCCAGAACATGCAGGGAGAATCCAGAGCATCTGGTCCCGCCTTCAGGAGACAGGCCTCCGTGGCAAATGTGAGGTAATAAATACCACCAGAGAAGGGGGAGAGAAGTGCTTGTGTGTTTAGGAACAAGAGAGAGAATAGACTTGTCTTTTTGATTCTACAGTCAGATTTTAAACAGAGCATTTTTAGGAACTTATTTTTCCTTTTGAAGATCAGCACATGGAACTTTGCAACTTGGATCTCTGATTTATCCGAACATGCAAACTTTTATGCTAGACTTCATTTTAAAACTTTATAAGGTTGTCTGTAGATTGGGTTTTGACAAATGTGGCTTAAATTTAATCCATGCCTACATGACTCTGTACTTGAGCATTTGGACCTACCAGAAATACTTTTTCAGCTATGTGATTTGGTTACATTACCAAGTCTGTTCCAATCACTAATGTATAGACTGATATAAAATATATCTGCATTGCACTATTTGCAGCAGAAGAGTTTTGTATATTTTTTTTCTGGTACTTCCCTGACTAATGTAAAAGATCTGTCAAGCAGTGACTTTTCCAGGGGTCAAAGATTGCAGCATATTGTGATTTAGTCTTTTTGTTGTAATTCCAGGCTGTAAGAAGAGCAGTTATTGATTGAATGCTGTCCTTAATTTTTTTCCATTGTTTTCGTGGCTTACTTTCTTTGAATGTTGTTGATAGTTTAGTGGCCAAGCCAAGCTTAAGGTGCTGCAACAGAATGAGAGGCTGTATTCATAACCAAGGGCTCACAGAGCATAGAATCAACATGGTTTGTATTAGCTTCGTTGGCCATTTCCGCAAAGGGAGAGGAGGAAGCTGACGAACTCAGTAAGAAAACAAAGGCATATAGAGATTGAAAACAATCAGACTAAATTCTTACAGTATTATCAGTTGTTTGAATACTTGGGGGGTTTTTTTGTTTTGTTTTGTTTTTTCCTGAGGAGTCTGAATATTATGCAACTTCCCCTGGTTAAAGCCAATGTCTAGGTAAAAATCATTATCATGTAGTCAGGAGTGTTAACCACTTGGGGGCAGCATTGTTGTTAGCAAAACTTTTTGTGCGGCGTCTGTTTCCCTATATAGAGAACAAAAAAAGTTCAGATGCAAGTCTAAAAAGACAAGCGCAGCTGAAGGTTGGGTTCATTCTCACTCTACTGTGGTAGGGGGCAGTAAGGGGAGCTTAAGACAAATACTCTATTGTTGTAACTAAGATCAGCTTTTTAGAAGCAACACTTATGCCAAACAGTATTGCTTGCCTCATCTCCTACCTCTGTATCACAGAAATTGTCCTCCTGGGTGTAAAATTCTTTGATCTGTGAATTCTAACCAACTATTAATTCACTTTAATTTGACCCGTCTGATTTGCTTTTGTGGACAAAAATCTTGGAGTCATTCTTGACACTCAACTTTTTTCCTCCCACATTTCCCTTGTCTGTAATTATCTTCTGAACATTAGTAGAATTCAACCTTATCTTGACCCGTCCTCTTCTGAAGACTTTAATCATGTGTTAATCACTTCCTGTCTCTTCTTTTTAAAATATCTTACAACCATCCTTAATCTCTGGTCTGTAAACTTCAGGGTATTTGGAATACAGCTGCACTGCCGTTCCAGTCATCTTTTCCCTTCATCTCCATTGGTTTCCTAGTCGTCTCCCAGCCTGTGCCAAAGATAGCTCTATCATGTATGAAATTTTGCATCAAATTGCTCCACTTTACTCAACTGACATTGCACACCACCTTCCCATTCCTTCATTTCACTCCTCTGATACTGGCAGTTTATCTTTTCCTCCCCTCTGAACCACTATATTTGGGGTCATCCGTTAATTTGTACTGACCCATTGATTCATCTATCTTGAATACTTTTCCTTATTTCCAAGCCACTGAGTCACTTCTTCTCTCTCCTCATCTTAAAACCCTCATTTGAATTCTGTCTCTGGGTATGCATAGCGGTATGAGTAGTTAAGTTGGTTTATATAATGTATTATTTTTTATTTAGACAATGCATAATGTAACATTCATGTTATCTATAAAAAGGGTTTACATGGTAGGGAGGAGGAATATTCAGGTTTAAGAGGCTTGTCCTGACAGGCTAGAGTTTCTCTCTCCTTTCTTTGGGCTGACAGAGAATACCTTTTGTTCTTTACCAAAAGATTGCTGTGTGACAAATTTAGCAAAACCAGCTTTGTATCTGAGATCTGTGCCAATAAATTTACACAGAGGGTCTTGATAGGACTCTTGGAATCTGGATGATTTTTTTTCACCTTCAGCACTAGGAGGAGAGAGCTCCATCTACACATGTGCAATCTTAAAAACAAAAACAAACAAACAAAAGGAAACCCTTACATTAGAGTGAAACTTTGAAGGGTAGAGTATAGCTTTGAGAAGCTGAAAAAAAAAATTACCAGTTAGGGTTGGTTGGGGGGTCTGTGTATTATTTTGACTCTTTTGTGTAATGTGTGCAATAAAGTAAGAGCATACGGGATACTCAGCATTTGTATAGCAGTCTAGATAACTGATAAATCTTCATCAATCTTCCCAGTAGCCCCATGAGGTATGTTAATATTACTAGTAGTATGTGTCTGCAAGTGAAAAGACAGGTAGAATGAGTTGCAGTGAGTTGGTTACAGACACGTAACAAGTCAGTGGATAAGAACCCAGTACTTTTTCCCAGTTTGCCTGCTGGCTTAATTTTTTCTGCAGTGTATCTGCATTATTCAGTTCAGACATTGCATGGCATTTGTGATTAATGTAGTTGTTAAATATTTGTATTTATCCTCCTTTGTCCAAAAGTGTAGCCCCATGCCTCAGACACTACATGTCATTTAAATGAGCCTACAGGCCTGCTAAAGAAATATTTTGTGATCGCGTAGTGCACCTGTGAATCAAAAATTAAACTCCACTCTTTCTTTTCCGTGTTTATAGACTGTTGAGGGGATCAGCTGTTCAGTGGACATTTCCACTCCTTGTCCATGCTGCATGCATGCAGAGTGCCAGTGGATCTCTGGCTGCTAGCTCTTTTATCATGCATTCAAGGCATGCATTCTTTGAAACTTCGTAAGTTGTCCAAAATAAAACTCATCTTCATCATCCTGCTGAAAGGTGTCTCTGCAACCTGCCAAATATTAAGTTTCTACCACCTACTAAGGAGGCAAGAAAGTGGATCCAAAAAAGATTACAAATGTGTTTAGAATTTCAAAAGCACATTTTTTCTCTGCATTGTTGAAAACAGCTGATCTATATTTATTCCTGATGTCCACAAAAAGAAAAAAAATTGCATACAGCTGAGGGGGAAATGCTGCCACTTGGAGTTTGATAGGTAAAAATCTGACAGCTTAAAAAAAAGAGCTTGAAGGTGATGCTGTAGAATGAAAACAGTTGTGCAACAAAAATTTAATTAAGTTGACGTATAAAATGTGGCAATTACTCTAGCATATGTGCAAATTTAAAAAGATAATTGTGCTAATCAAAGTAGTCTCAATAAGACTTCCCTCAAGCAAAAATTCCTAATCACTGCCTAGTGTAGTTCTCTGCCCCTCCATCAAAAGCACTGGGAAATTGGAAGACTGTAGAAGGTACCCTGAAGTTAATGAGATCCTTCCTAGGTGAGAGCTAGGAAATGAATTCCAGAGATCAGGACATCTCTTCAAGAATACACTGACAACATCCCTGTAGTGGGGAAAGTTAGCTTGAACAATTGGGTTAATTGACCTGCGATACAATAACATAAGAAAAAACATTGGATCGGATTATCTGGTCTACTCTAGCCATGCAAGTAGCTTTTAACTGTCACAAATCAAAGTACAGTTTCAGTCTCTGTGCATCTTAGGCTGCATACACATGTTCAAATGATGTGGAAGAATTTTCATGGGTTTGTCTTTGTGATAGGAAAACTTATTTGGAGACCCCTGAACAGACATTCAAATGCTATACACGAGTGCAGCTTAGGGGGTCTCAGTGCACACATCTCAGCATGCTTTGCAAGCTCTGTCTGCCTGGTGACAGATGACAGTAGTGCACAGGGCAGCCCTAATTGGCTGACCCAGACTGCCTCTCTGGCTTTATCTCCCTGCAGCACAATGAAGGGGTTATGAAGGGGCTCCATGCTTGGGTGGAGCAGTAGACTACAACCTGACTGATGCATTTTTTCCCTGGACCTGTGCGGCGGTGGGGTAGGAAGGGTTGGTATCAAATCACTCCAGGAATACTGTGCTGCAGCTCCTCTCAGAAGGCAAATATACAGAAGTTCGATCTCCCAGGAGAAACTCCTGGGTTATCTTTCTCCTGGAATGGCCATTTTTGCTCTGGGAGAAAAATACTGAATGTCTGTATACTCATGGTTTCTACTGGGAAAGCAGCAACTCTCCCAGGACAAACTGAATGTCTCTTACATGGCCTTAGAAGAGCTATTGTGCTTTAGTTGTCATTGCTGTCTGATTTGCAGTCTCTGCAGAAAGCCGAAAGTCCTCAGACCATAGCATCATCCCATGTATGTTAGGCTATTGGAAGCAGCTGACTGCCACCTGGGACTTCAGACACCTAAAAAAAACAGGTTTCCATCTCTTACTATAGCTATAAAAAACAACCATGAGGAATGAAGTGGAAGGAGTAAACAATGCAAAGTTAAGCATAGGAGCTTTTATGGCTGAAAATTAAAAAGAGAAGTTAGCATGAAAAAGAGACAGGAAAGTATATAAAGTGAATGGAATAATAAAGGTGCTCTGTTAGCACAAAGGTCAAGTTTTGTGCAGAAGGAGACAAAAAGAGGACAAAGAGCCAATTAGTTTGCCAGGGTGTTAAAAGCCAAACCCTAAAATGAAAAGCCCAAATTTTGCAGCCAGGAGGCAGGTTAGAAGACAAAGGTAAAAATATGCAGTGAGCAAGTTGGATAGGGAAAGTTAGGTGTTATAGATGACAGAATATAATGAACTACCAGGTTCCCGTGGACAGTGAAATGCTGTTCAAATGATTAAAGAATGGACTGGGTTTGTAAGACTGAGCTGAAATTGTCAATTTTCTGGAAACATAGTTCAGTTTTGTACTCCTTTCTTTTTTGTTTGCGTGGAGTAGGTATATTGGAGTCTGTTACAAAGCGGAGAGGAAGCCTTTTGAATGGCAATTAAGGGATCTGAACTGGGCAAATATAATGTATTCAGAACAATGTTTTGCTTTCAGTCAGTACAATGTGTGTTGTGAATTTTTCTCAGATGTGTGCTTGTTGTCCCAAAATATATAGTAAAGTAGACATTTCCTGTGAAGAATATAATTAGGGAACTACTTAATTTGCGGTTTTGTGGTTTCAGTGGAACCACAGAATCTGGGTTTGTCTGCGAAATTTTTTAAATCAACCAAAAAGAAAAAAACTTAATAAAAATAAAATGCTGCCTCCCCAGTGAGAGCCAGTGGTCCTTGCTGCTGGGACAGGAAGGCACTGGCTGGTGGATGAGATGGCTTCTGCCCCTTCATCCTTTCTCCCCCAACTGGGGCCTGTCCACCAATCAACAGTGAGGAACAGGGCCGCACGAAGGACAGCCAGCAGTCAAGATGGTGGCCACCCTCTCCTCCAGGGCCTCTGCCAATCAGTGCTGAGGGGCAGGGCCTCTTCCCCAATCAGTGCCAGAGGGCGGGGCTGCCACAAAATGACTGCAGAGTTAGAGCTTTATACCACAATCAGCCTGCAAAAATTGGTAAGTCTCCCTGTGATTTAGGTAGACCCCTAAATGTAATGTATGTTTTACTAGACAGTTCTTAAAACAACTAGGGTATGTGAGAAGTGGTTCCATGATAAGCACAGACTTTGGGGGTTTTTTGGTATATAGAGACAGATTCTCAACTAATATTAATAGGACTAGCTTCTTGGAGGCCAGCAAAACTTCCAGCCATTTACCTCAATTAAGGATCTGGTTTGTTGTGTCACGGTGTTACCATTCTCTTATTTGGATAGAGATTTATTATGCCAGATTATATCTACACAAAATTATTTTAGGAACGGTTTAGATGCATAATACATTTATCCCACTTTACATTTATCCAATTTGCCTTGGATTTTATTCTGGAATAAAACCACACCAATATTCTGCACAGACACATGACGAGCTCTCTAGGGTTAGCTGTACGCAGTAGATGCTACTAAAATGCCTTGCCATGGGGTTATGGGTGAGCTGGTAATAGCCCATTTGCTTTGAGCAAACACCTGCTCTGGAATGAAATGGATTTGAGCCATGGAGACTCAACATGCTCCTGATATAACTTTACCCAGTTGCTACAGGTTTTTTTCCAGGAGCAATTTTATCCTGGGATTGAGTAACTTACTCCCCAGTTACTGTATGTCACATTTGCTCTATCTTTAAGATAAAGAAAAGTCAATTTAGTCCTTTGGGTAAACATCATGGCTGCTTACAGATGTGAAAAAAACCCAAATGGTGCTTTACTTGCAGCTCAGCATGCCCCTGTGCCAAGTGCGGCACATGCCCAGAAGAGGCATTGCATTAATTTGACCTAGCTTGCTCAACATCTGTATAGATCGGGCACTTCAGCAGACCTTTCTGGCACATTTATCTAATAGCCGATTGAATCAGCTATTAGATAAAAGTGCCAAAAAGCCGTGCTGAATTGCGTGATCTATACAGGTGCTGGGGTCAAACTAATGCACTTCCTCTTCTGGTAAAGCACTGTTTTTTTGTTTGGGTTTTTTTCATGTCTGCCAGCAGCCTGTTTGTCTGCACAGAAGTCAGTTCGAGTCATTTCAAGAACAAGAATGACATCTAGGCAGTTGAAAAATGTAAAGTAGGGAAAGTTTAAAGGAGAAACTAAAGCAGATTTATCACGTACAGGACAGGGAAGGAAAAATGTAGTGAAGCATCTTTGGAGAGGGGGTGGAGATTTGCTGCCCACAGCAGGGAGCTGAGCCATAAGTGGTTACCAAACCCCTTTTTACTGGGTTAGAGACTCCTGTGCAGCTACATTGTAAATACATGACAAAGGATTACAGCAGAGGGTTGAGACCAAAACCCCTAAGGCACTCTCTGAAAGAAGAGGCCGTCTGTATATAGTGCAGTAGGCATCATCATGACTCTGTTGAGAGTACATTCTTCTCTGGAACACCATAAACTAGAGTCGCACCAAAAGTTGATCTCTGAGCCAGAGAGGAGTGTATTGTGTTAGTGTGGTCACTGTGTTATCAAAAGTACTGCTGTCTTTTGTATAAGTAGTGAACCACATCCATCCACTTTCTCCAGTTTCCAATGGCCGCTGTAATACAAATGTTATGATTTTGTGGCAGTTGTCGCCTGCCACACCTTTTTAGTGCAGTTTGTCCTAAACTTTAACATGTTTGTCATTGGTATGGATTCTCTCTCTCTATCATATATTTTAAATTGTATATTTGGACATGTTCTCTTTAGAATTTATAGTGCTAAAATTTGAAGTAATAGGGCAGCATTAATCAGCAATAGCCCTTTCTTAGGTTAAGCTGCCATGAGTGAAGTCTGTCCGTGTCTCAAAATTGTTCTTTATTGTTGCACAGGCATTCTGCTATGCAGCAGAAATTAAGTGAAAATTAAAATGTAGTGTTCATTTTTACCCAGCATATGAACTTTTCTGAGGTTTGGAAAAAAGGTCAGATTTGTAAAACTCTGGAGTGAAATCTTGGTCCAGTTGAAATCAATAGGAGTTTTGCCGCTGACCTCAGCGAAGCCAGGGTTTCAGGCTGGTTTCAGCTGACAGTAGAAGAACAAAGGAAAAATGTTCTGATTTTATCGACTCTGCTGAAATCACACTGTAATAGAAGGCTGATCTGGCATGACCTCCAAACCAGTTTTTAGAGCCCAAAGTTTTAGATTAATCTTTAGCTGTTCTTCTGAAGTCAACTTTGTGAGTCTTTGTGGTTCAGCTGTCACTAGTTGTGGGATGTTTCTTTGTTCAGATTTAAGAGGGGAGAGGGTTCTTCAAAGTAGAATTTATATGTCTGACTCTTGTTTATGCTGACAGATTATAGACCTACATCCTGGTATATCAATAAGATATTAGTCCCTCTGTAGTTAATCAAATATTTTGGAATATATACAACATCCAAAAGACTGCTTTGCATGCAAGTTTAATATTTTGAGTAGTGGCATTAAGCCAAAATTGTTCTCATAACTAAAACTGTATTTTATTGTGAGTAAACAAAATTAGGCATTTTGAAAACATTTTTAATGATATGGTCATAAAAAATGTGTGTCCTATAATTTAAATACAGTAAATCTTTATTGCCATATGACTTCAACGGCATTTCCTTTTTACCAAAGGGCAAATAAGACTGAGCTAGTTAATAGAAGTAAGTGTAATTTCATCACTCCTTTCCTTTCCTTTCCCCTTGCAGTGTATTCGTGGAAGAAAAGCAACTCTAGAAGAGCTACAGACAGTTCACTCAGAGGCCCATACACTGCTGTACGGAACAAACCCTCTGAACAGGCAGAAACTGGACAGCAAGAAACTTCTAGGTACAGCAGGGGAAGGGTCACTTCTCCTTACCTCTTAGATCCTACGTTCATAAAGATATACAGGTAGTCACAACACTGGCACTAACAGTCACAGGAGTGCATCATTCTGAATGTCACAAGTGATGTCAGCTTTACTTTACTTTAATGGGACAGGTAGTAAAATATTTGGTACCTTTCCTTCATGTTATTTCCTGCCTTTAGTTAAAAGCTCTAAAGATTTAAAAGGACTGCCTGTAGAAAGGAGAAGACAATTCAGCTTCCATTTCCATTTTTATTCTTAGATTCACTGCTCATCAGAAAAGCTCCAGCTGCCATGTAGGATTTGGGAGATTCCCTAAGAATGGAATTCCAATCAGTAACTTAACAGAGATTATTACTGAATAAAAGTATCTGGCACTCCGTTTCAGCCAGATTTGAACTGGAAGTTTAAAACAAAGCTCTGCATCCTGCTTTCAGTTGCTAAGCTAGCTAGTCCCTAGCTTAAGGGTGGCCAGTCTGTGGTATGGGTGGCTTCTGTGTGTGGATCATGACACTGGGGAGGAGACAGGCATCACAGTGGCAGAAAGCAGAATCTGAAGCATCAGATCAGGCAGGAAACACAAGGCAGAAAGCAGAGCAGCAGCCTGGTCAGAGCACAGGGCGGGGAGCAGAAAGCTGAGCAGGAGATCAGGTGAGGGTGATGGATCGGTTTGGCACTTTGGGAATGCCTGCCAAAAAGTGGCCACCAATTTCGTAGCTCATCTCTTTCTGACAGTAATCCAGCATGGATCCGTCAGGTGGCTGAGTTTATTTGTCTTGTGTTGGATACCTGTCATATGAAAACTACCTCAGCCTGTGACAATGCTCATTTTCACCAACGTATGTCCTGTAAGATCTGTGAGAAAAGGAGACTGCCAGTGAATAGCACTGCAGAGTAGCTGCTGAGTGGTTTTCCCATGCTGTTTTTGAAGTGCTAGTGGCCAGGCAACCATTGTGATTTCAAAGTGGGGCCCTTGAAGTAATTTTCTCCCTTTGTTGAAGACGGAAGCCTCCTTGAGTAAAGAACTATCAGTGTTAGTCCTGGCATAGAAAGGTCTGTGGTGGTTCAGAAAGCAGATTGTGCCAGAAGAAACCAGGGCACATTAACATGCCTGTTTTGGCTACTTATACAGACACCTTCCCTTTACTTCCTTTAACAATCTTCAGGTGCTTGTTAACAGCTGTAGGTGACAAATTTGAGTAGCAGTTTTGAAGCGAGAGAAAGCTCTGCAGTCAAGAAATTGAGATTGCATTGATTGACTTAAGTCTGAATGATATGAAAGGGGATTACCGTGATGGTCTGCAGTGGTGTAGTAGTCATGGCAAGAAAGCTACAAAGGCTTTGCTAAGAATTCAGCATGTATCTAAAATCCCCATAGAGAAAAATGATATAAAGAGTGTTTAGAAATGTAATTAGCACTGCATTTATAGCCACATTTCTGATAGTTATCACCTCTTTAAAACCCAGACTTCTGGTTCTGCTAGCTGAGTGAGTGACATCACAATTAACATGCACATTTTAAAGACTTTATAACATCAGGACCCTGGTGTATAAAACTTTTGCTTTGGGTTTGCCAGTGCAGACAATGAATACATGCACCTTCTCCACCTTTGGATCTATATCTGTGCTGTCCATTTCCTCCTGTAGGATTTTGACCTTGTCCTACCTTTAAATGAAACCAAGGGTACCATCACAACACCTGCTTAGTGGGACACAGAAGCCTGTTTTCAGTGTTAAACCCCTGGAGTAGCAAAGTAGCAGTTGAAGCTAAGGACCACTGCCTCCCCCATATGCTTCGGGGTCTGTTTTTTTCTGGTATAAATCAAGCAGTTTTCAAGCCTTTGTTAAATACTGGTCTGTGTTAGACTCATGATCCATGAAATCTCTGACAGTAGCAAGTACCAGCTGCTGCAGAGAAGTACAATAAAGTCCCCACTAGGTGAGGAGGGGTGGGGAGTGTAGCAGGTGAGATTCTGTCTTCCATGAGAGTCTCACTTTACTCCCTAATAGCTTGCAATTGGATTAAATTCAGAAGCATTAAGTTTTATATCTGATCCCACACTTTTTGTGTGAGTTTTTATATTTTTGGTATTCACATAAATGCCAAATCCTCTTTAAATATTATAATATTTCCTCTTTGTATCTTGCTGCATTCTTAGTCTCACTGCCTTCCTGTAGCAATGAATTCCACAGATAAATTAAGTGATGTGTGGACAGTATATCGTTTTAGTACTTTCACATGTTTGCACCTTTGTTTCATTGAATCTCTCTTGCATGTTTTCTGCTTGCAATGACAGTTTGCCAACCTACCCATGTTTTTTTCATTCACTCTGGGGAAAAAAATGCCAGGGAGACTATGGAGTCTACTAATTAGAATAGTGGTTTTAAACCATGAAAGACAGAATTCACAGTTTAAAAGCAATTGGTCATCCGTGTTTACAACATTTAACTGAAAAGATAAGTAGCTACTGGAAAAGAACGAAAATTCCACAGGTCTGTATGCCTGAGGGGACTTGGGGTGGACAGCAGTAAGACTAGTCTAGGTAGAAACAGGTGGAAAGTAGATGAAATGGGAGGAAACCACTGGGAATATTTGCAAGTAGAGATGACTTATTAGGAAAATTAGAGGAAGGGGAAAGGTAACAGTGTTAAAGTTTAGTAAGAAGAAAAGAGGAAAAAGTGATGGGTAAAAGAAGAGTAGAATAACAGGACAAATTAGTGGGAGAGAGAGACTGAAAACATGATTATGCAAGGGATGAATGAGGAAGCTTTCCCCCAACAGTGTAGTTATACCAGCATTTCTCAACCCATGGGTCACAACCCAAAAGTGGGTGCAAGAATATATGAAAGGGTCACAGATAAACTTTAAAAAATGGGTTCTCCTTTAAAGGAGAAAAATGTGGGAAACCACGGCTTTTCTCTTACAGGCTGACAGAGTTCCAGCCTGCTAGGGGCTGCTTGGGGCCCCTCTGCCCCACACACTGGGGGGCTGGGGCCTGGGGGCCAGGGGCAGCAGGTCAGGACTGGCCATCAATGTTTACAAATAGGACCTTGTACAAAAAAGTTTAAGAACCACTATGTTATACTTTGTAAATAGTGCAATTCATATTAAACACCTTGAAATACTATGTTTCATATTACAAAGTAAATAACCAAAATATGTTGCCAGATTCACTAACAAGATATTTTCCTTTGGCAAGGCAAGAAAGGGCTAATTTTCATTGTTGCTCCTTTACAGAAATCTCAAAGATTAGCATAATCCAACTCCCATATAACAAAGAACCCTGAATTAGTGAGTGAAGCAGTGTGGGGTTTCTGTTAACAAAGAGATGGCTCAGTGATCTAGAGCTTTATGGCAAGAATAATAAAACTTTTCTAAGTGTCATTAGACATTACTTTGTGTTTCAGATAAAACTGTAGTCTCTTGCTGAGAAACCAGGAAGGAAGAGAGAACAGGGAGTGATATTTCTGGCAGAAAAATAAATTGATTACAAGAAAATATTTCTGAGCAATGTGTTGGAGTCGGAGTAGTGCTGCATCATTCTACTCCCCTACCTGTGCTCAGCTGGAGCGCCATTTTCAGTGCTCCTGCAGAATGTAAAAGAAAACCCCTGGGATCTCCACTAGGGAAGGTTTTACCAGTAGGTCTGAATCTCAGCTGCACTTTCAAGAGCACTCCTTCCTAGCACATGGCACATTTAACTCTGGCTGCTGATAATGAGGCTCACTCCCATGATGTTACTGTCCTGAACCCTGGCTCTATTGCGGCCTCCCATTAGAGGTGAACCGATATATCGGTCACATGTCGGATCAGCACCAATAAAAGAAAAATTAACATTATCAGCAATTGGCTTTTTTTGGTGGGTGTAGCTGATATTACTGATAAATGTCATGTGCGTGTGCACAGCCCCAGCATGCATGCTGCCAGGAACGCAACCAGGTAGCTTGGTGTGCAGCATCCTGCCAGTAAGTCTGTGGGGCAGAAGAGGCATGGCGGAGGGAAGGTGTGTGGGGGGCGCAGATCAGGGCCCCCACAGTGAGGGAAGGAATGAGGCAGGGGCAGGCACTGCCCAGCCAGGACAGAGAACGCAGCCCCAGGGCTGGGAGTGAGATGGAGCCACAGGCAATGCGTCCAGGTTGTGGTGGGGAGGTTGGCTCCTCACTGCTGCGTGCACCCATGGGGAAGGAATGGGGTGCATGTGCCCCCTGGGTTTGTGTGCAGGTTGAGGGCAGGGTGCCTGTTGTGGACTCAGAGCCAGGGGCTGCGCCAGCCTCTTCATACCAAGGGGGCTGGGCCTGGGCTGGGCTCTGAGTGGGCAGGGTCGGGGTGGGCAGTGGCAGCTCTGGGAGGGGTGTCTATGGCCACCCCTAAATCCCCGTAGCCACCCCTCCCAGCACCGCTGCCATCTGACCTGCCTCCGCCTGCTCATAGCCCAGCCCCAGCCCAGCTCCCCTGCCAGGAAGAGGCTGGCATAGCCCCTGGCCCCAAGCCTGCAGCAAGCAGCCCAGCCTCGCCCTACGCACAAATCCAGGTGGGGCACATGACCCCCATGCCATCTCTGGGGGTGCACACAGGGGTGGGGAGGCCTCCACCCATCTTGCACCCCCTGGTTGAGCCATCTATGGCTCCATCTGGCTCCCAGCCCTGGGGTCACATTCACCGCCTTAGCTGGACAGTGCCTGCCCCTGCCCCACTCTCTCTCACCATGGGGGCCTTGATCTGCCCCCCATGCCCCTCCCCGACTTACAGGCAGGACACTGTTCTCCAAGCTGTCCATCTACATTCCTGTAAATTGGTTACTGGATTGCTGTTGGCCAATGTGGCTGGTTAATAATTGGCTATTGGTATCAGCCAAGGAAATCTTTATTGATGCACCCCTACCTCCCATCACTAACTGCCCTTTCCTGCTGCTCAACACATGCTGTTGTCACGATTCTGTATTGCACAGCAACCAGCATTTACTCTGCTGTATAACAATAACCATAGGAACACAGGAAAAGTGCGTAGCATCACAGCACACATGGCTATAAGTCATTCTGCAAAGGCAGCAGTATTCAATTCGTGACCTGACAGCCAGATCCAGAAAGGGAGGCCAGCCTGGTAAAACAGATTAGGAATTTTAGCTGAAACATGGCTTTGTGGTTAGGATTTTTCCACAAGAATCAAGTATATGGTCACCCTCTGGAAACTGGGCCATGGAGGATGGTAATGCTTCACATGGGCCTTAGGAAGGACAATGTATTTTCATGTGTATGAGGAAAAAAAATGATTTTCAAATGGGAAAAGTTAAGACATGAATATGTCTGAAAGCAGCTAAATGTCTGAAATCAAGCCCACTCTATCATCTCCAAAGACTTATGATTTTTTCAAATGTATAAACCAGTTTCTTTAAATGTGTCAAAGGATTAAAATCTATGCCAAGTTGAAAGCTTAAATGCAAACTGATGTTTGAGTAGCTTAAATGCAAATAATACTTTTTTCAAATAAAGCTCTGTGTATTATCACCCACAAAAATAAAAATTGATCAGATTATTTTGTTTAACCTTTGTACCCAAACTGGGTCTAAGATCTAGAAATAAGCAGGAGAAATTTCAGGCCCCAAGGATCAGCTCAGAAAGGTATGAGAAAATGGAAACAACGGTTGTTTATGGAATTAATTTTTACATTTATTTTCATGATGGCAGTGGTGTCATTAAACTGGCAGTTATTTACAAGAGACTAGGAAGCCAGTGACTCAGATTTCTCAGCTTTGTAAGGAGTTTATAGGCAGAATTACCAGGCTAACTACATTTTAAATTTTAAACTACTTTATACTTTGATCATCTTAGACTATCCCAAATTTCTAAAAAGGCTTTGCACATTCTCTGTTAAGATTCTAACTGCTTCTATTACAACCCACCACGGACATTTATCTAACCTGGTAAATTTGACCAGGTTGAGCTTTAAGTAGATGTGTTTTAACAGATGATAAAGGTGATGACTTGCAAGGAAAGCTGTGCATATCTACTCTTTTACATGTTTCTGCCACACTTGAAAGCTTTGTAATGAAGTGTATATTCTTGTCTGTTGTCTCACAGTTTGGGCATGTGTTTAAACAGTCTTTAAGCTTGGACAAATGAAGTTGTTTTAAATTGTGTCCTTTTGGAAAGATTAATATTAATAATAGGTCAATGTTATAAATGGAAGATGTAGCAGGAGGTCTTATGGAGGATGATTCACATGCTCTTTCTAAGGATCTAATCGCACAATTCATTTGACTTACAAAATCAAATTAATTGTACAGTTGTATTAACCTCACTTTCAGTTGAAGGAAAATATTATGTAGCTTATGTATGAGGTTCATTTTATCTCATTGTGATCTTCAGTCACTAAAGTGTGCTTTCCACCATCATTTCATGATTTTTACCATTTGAAGGAAGTGTCTTCAAATTTTGTTATCTCAGTATAGGCATATTAGAATAACAAGATCTTGACTGTAGGAACATTTTGGTCAAACCTGCTTCCTGTTGGCTGACAGCTCCCTAAATTTAACTACCACTAATTAATATCAGGTAAATGGATCCAAGGCTTTTATTGAGTACATATGTATGTATATATCTGTGTGTGGATGCATGCATACGCATTTCTTTTCGTCACATGGCTATCTCACTATAGACATAGCTAGACACATTGTATATATAATAGTCACAAAGTGCAATACAGTTAAGTATTTTATTCTTTATTCAGAACACTTGAGAATACATTACATAACTCTAGTATTCTGAGGAACAAATAATATTACTGATGTATGTGCAGAGAAAATAACAATAACATTCTCTTCAGTTCACAATGTCCTCCACACATTTTTTTCCATTTTTCTGGAATCTCTGATGTTGGTTTTGCTCTTCTAGTCTTAAGCAACCCATGTTGTTTGCTAACTGATTGTTTTTTGTGGCATTTGTCTCTTAATTGTGCTGTATGAAAGTGCCTAATACACTCCAAAATTCTCCAGTAAACATGTGAATTTCACTGATAAATAGGGTCTTTATGCTTTTAAAATCCTTCAGATGAAAGCAGTAGGACATAGTCACAGCTTTACTCCCAGCAGAGATGGTTAGTAGTTATTGTTTTCATTGCTACTATTTCTTTTTCTATAAACAAGACTTCAGTGGAGCTGTTATATATAATCAGTATGATTGGCTGAAATGTAGGAACAGCATATAAACATTTATGAAGGCGTGTATGGTTTATATGAAGCCTTTACATTTAGAAGGCTTTTGAACAAGTACAACTTTATATTATACGTATGCACGTGTTGAAATATTATTTAGTTGTGTGTTTTTCTCTGACAGTTTAAACACATGCAATAATAAAACCAAAGAACATTACCGTGTTAGAAAAGGATCCAGCATTACCATAAAATTGGACCAAAAAAACCTGTGAACTTTGCCTTTTTGATGACTTACTGCTCTCTTTTTTTCCACAGGTTCTCTAACATCAATGTTTGTCAGGCTCCCTTGTGGTGGTGTTGGAGTAAGTATTTTCTTTAATGTGTAAATAATGTCCTGTTTGTTCTCTCAGTCCCATTGGTAACAAAAATTGTTGCTTTGCTTTCCACTGAGCGGATAATTGCAACCAGATGTTATCCATAAACGGGGTCCGTCTGAGGTGCGGGGTTGCACTGACAGCCTCACGTGTTGCTTCAAAAGCAGTGTGAAAGTTTTAACTATTTTGAGCGCTGAAATCTTGTGCGTGCTTTGTCTCTGTCTTTTAGGAAGAGAAACCTCATTTCCCAGAGAATGGCGGTTAATAGCTTAGATTACTACATTTTAAAGTAACTATCAAATTAAAAAATGAGCTCCAGATGCATAGCAAGAAAGAAAGATGTACTTTTTATGTTGCTCATATTGTGTAGGCTGTTTCTTCTGTGTTTTTTCTTTGTTCCTCAGATGCCTGCATAATAGTGTAGGTGAAAGTATTTTAGTAAAGAATGGTGATTTAAGAAACAATATTTAGCAAGCTCTTGCAAATAGTAGTTTGCTGTGTTTGTTCCTGCGATGCAAGACTGTTTTAGAATGAAATGTCTTGTAAGGAACACTGCATGGGGGAATTGCAGTCTTCAGCATTTGGCATCCTTCAGTTTGGGCTTTAAGACAATGCTGCCTGAATTATGAGAGAGGTGGCTAAAATATCTATCCATCCATCATGTATGAGCAAAAACATTCATTTTCAACAGTCAAAATTCCAAAGGAGTAAAAGGAATTCTTTCTGTTCCCATAAGGCTATATATATAAATAAAATAAAATATCACACTAACACGGTGAGTTGAAATTTAAAAGCCTGAGGTTCCTTCAAGGCAGCCTTTTGCTATAAAGATTCTGTATAGGGTGACATAACAGAAACTAATCTGGAAGAAAAGAAAAGACAGAGAATGAGAATAGACAATAAAAGGCATTGTGTTTGAAACTTCACAGTGGTAGTTCTTGTGCATAATTGTAACTCACAAGGTTGAATCTGGAGGTCTGGATTCTGTTATGGAAATGAAACAAAATTGTTTTCTTCCTGAGTCTTTGCAAAATGACTGCTTTGAAAATTATCCCGTCAAAAAAGAATAATCGGCATTTATTCATACCACCACCACCAAGCACTCCTAGAGATATTTCATTTTGTATTGTAAATATGCTTCGGTATCCTAATTCATGGCAAATTTTTGGCTAGACTTTAAAAGGTTTGGATTTACTCTGCCCTGCAGACAGGCATGCCATTCAAAGTAAAAATTATCAATTGCAAATGAAAAATGAATGGGAACTAGGAGAGACAGCGATTGGGCCGAATGCAATCCCAGAAGTCTTACATTAAGTCCTGAAACAAAAAGAAACCCCATAGTGTTGGTACTACCGATCCTGGCAATATTCTGTAGATAATTTAAGCAGTATACATACTCATGCAGCTAACTTCCTGATGTCAGTTGCCTCAAAGTCTTTTTAAATGTAAATATTCAGTAAAACTAGTCTCTTTGCTTCAGCTGTTCACTAATTCAAACATACCAATGTTATCATCATATAGAGGAAACTCCCAAAATACGTATTTTTGCTTTAATAGTAATTAACGACTACATGTTAGCCAAGATTTTTCCTAAAATGATAGTTCTTTAGAAAAAATCTCTCTCTGCTTTTCTAGTTAAATAGAAATATTAAGCCTATTATGCAAGTAGTCTTGACACTGAGGGCCTTGTTACATGGTAGGTTTAGGCAGCGTCTGAAGCTCTTAACTCCAGGACTGGCTGCACGTTAATACCTTTTAAGTGGCTTAAAGCACACATTATTAGAATTAAAGTTATGACACTCCAGGGCAGGATTATCTTCAATCTGCCTAATTGTATTCCTATTTCATTACTGTGTAGCTACTTACCACAGCTATTCTGCCCAAGTTGAAATCCTCTAGTATCCCAAAATGTAATGGTCCCTCCTGATTTAGGGCGAGCAGGCACGCTGGAGCATAGCGGAGCCTAGGAACATGGGCAGAACGAGTGCCACAGCCCAGGAGTACTCAGCAGCTGCGGCAGCCTCCCACTGCCACCTAGACTGGCTTTGCTCCTGCCAGCAGCAGTGCGGGGAGCAGGTGCCACCCGAGCTCCGGAGAAAAAGGTATCGGGCCCTTTAGAGCTCAGGCAGTGCTTGGCTGTCCACCAGCCCAGCCAGCAGGACACGAGACAATGGGTACTGCCTATGCTCCGAGGTATAATGGATTGGGCCCCTCAGAGCTCTCTGGTCTTGCTGAAAGTGACAGAGCACCTCCGCACTGAAAGTGGGACCCAGGGCCACTTCCCTGGGTCTCTCTGGTCTTGCTGCAGTTGACATGGTGATGGGCCTGCTGGCAGAAGCAGCAAGCAGGTCCTGTGCCTAGTCCTGCCCCTGCTCACCAAGCCTCTAGTAGCAAATCTCAGCCATGCAGGTGAAGGATAGTCAGAGCAGGTTTTTTACCTTATTCTGTGACTCCACTAAGATGAACAGCACTAAGCCAGTTACCCTGTAAGCCAAACAAATGTTAAGGTCTAACAGGGCTCGAAGACTTAAAACAAGTAGGGTTTATGGGGAGGGGATGGGGTGCTGATTATCCCAGTTTGTGACTTGCATCAAAACAGGAATGAGACAGTCCTTTACACATGCAGCTTGAATAACTCAAACTAGCTGCACGTGCGGCAGATTAATAATTCAAAGTAGCTGCTATTGTCCTTGGGCAAAATTAATTCTGATACGTTGTGGCCACTTAATGTGGGACAATGGGCTTGTCCATCTGTAGGATTCCAGGATGAAATGCTTTGTCCCAGGAGAAATCCAGTGTTTGTTTTCAACCTCATTTCCTTAATGTGTGTGTGTTCTTTCTTTACATTTTAAACTCACTTTTAGATTGTTATACATGGGCACTTGCAGGAAAAAAGGTGTACAATGGAAACGGTTGGCTACAGTCCATCAAAATACAGGGTCTTCATAAAGTCCTTGTGCACAACCTAAGTTATTAATGTTTAAAAGTGCACAAGGACTTTATGAAGACCCTGTATTGTATATCTAGTTAAGTATATGTACAGGATTTGCTTAGATCCATATCTGTGAAAAGATTATTTGCCTCTCAGTGCAGTGCATCTTGGTATGATGTTGGTGTGCTTCTACTTGCTATATTAAAAAAAAAAAAAAAAAGGAAAAACCATTTCCTGTGGCATATTGATTTTGTATGATTTATAGTTCTTATTACCATTTGCTGAGGAGTATTGCTTTAAGAAGTTATATGGTAGCATTGCACTGAGGCTACAGAAAGGTTCTTGCAGTATTTGATATGAAACAATGGATTTTCTTCATTTTAATATGAATGTTGTTATAATCTCAAGGCAGGTAAAACAATTTAATGAAATATTTTTCTTCCTTTTTAAAGCAGAAATCAGTGTGAAAGCATTAACTGTTGAGAACTTTAGTGAGAAAGAAATGTTTTCTGCAGCAAAGGGTGACAATATCTTGAAAAGTTTCATTAGAGGAAAATTACCAGGAGTTTGAATATAGTTTCCTGTTGAACTGCAAGCTCATTATTAAAGCATGATCTCTAGTTAAACCTGGGTAATTGCATTCTACCTAAATAAATTACCCACACGGTTTCAGTTAGGTACAGTGTCATTCTCAGTGGTTTCAGGAGTGGAAGTAATTTAACTATTGTGAGCTGTTAGAAATCTGCTGTTTTCTACCTCAGTGGTGGATGAAATATCAACTACATCTAGACGTGAATTGTAAGTGATTTAGATTACAGAAGGCACAGATAATGCTTATCAGAGTTAAACATGAGTTCCAGCTCCATTTTTCAATTTCTCATAACTTTCTAAAACATCATGGGTGCCAATGTATTAAGGCTCTCCATAGCCATGGAAGAAAGGGCAATTTGCTCCTTCATCCAGAATTGTTATGTTCTTTGGCTTTTTGTTTGTTTCTTTGTTCTAATAAAATGGCTTGGATTCAGGCTACGCTATCTACCTTTAACTGAAAAACATACTCACAGCAATAAAGCAGAATGTCGGATACATTTGCTTTCTAGCTGGTGAAAACCAGTAGGGTCTCTGTTGCTGGACAGTATGAATTGATTTTCTCCAGGTGATAATGGTTAGCCTGATAAGTCCCATATTTTTTAAATCGTCTGATTACCTGAGAAGTGTCATCTCACCCATTTATGAGAGAGAGAAATTTGTGGGGGGGGGGAGTTGTGGTAGTATTCAAAGTCCTCAGTTTTTCTGTCCCACAGTTGGTCTGATTTCAGATGTTGACATGGGCAGTGGGCTGATTATATTAGTGTGTCTTCCTGATAATGGATGAAAATCAGGTGCACATATTGCTACTTCCAGTTATGAGGCTACTCTTGATTGCCCTGAAAAAGAGATTCTAATCCTATCTCCTTCCTGTTGAACATGGGAAGAAAAGTGAAGGGGGAATCAGCTATACAGCCTTCTATCTAGAGATGACATTGTGCTCTTTCTATTTCATCTACATGTATGGGACTGCTATGTGACTGGCTGAGGTCAGAGGTTGAATAACTAACCATGGAGACTGGACCCATACAAGATTGAGATAATGTCTGTCAGCAAAAAAGTGGGGTGAGGAAATAACCAGAGATAATATCAGCTACTTCAATTAAGGAAGTGAACCTAATGTCAATTCACAATTTGGGGTCCTGGTAGAACTTGGGTTGCTCCTGGATGCGCAGTTAGAGAGACCCATACTTGGATTGATCCTAAGCTTGGATACTCCTGTTATATACCTCTTCACAGTTAACTGTGCCTTAACCACCTTCAAGGTCAGTTGCTTTAATGGACCTTTCAAGGGGCTATAGCTTCAGTCTACCAAGAAACAATCCATTGCAGAAAAATATCTCCTGTTTATGTCAGCCTAGAGATTAGATTTGGTGGGTGTTCTATCCTGTGCATGGAGCTAATGACTAGTTTCCAGATAGTTTAGATCCATACAGACCTAAATGGAGAGAGCTCTTATTTGTCTGCC